CCCGGCTCTCGGCTCCCTCTCTCCCCGGCTCACCTTCACTCTGGCTCCGGCTCGCTGCCTTCTCCTCCACCGCCTGGCTGTGGTTCCCTCCCCCCATGCCTCGCTCCCCTTCTCGCCGACAGGACCGAGCCTTCTCCCCGCCGCCTGCGCTGCTAACACCCCGCTAGCCTCCCAGCTAGCCCTGGCTCACGGTTCAGACCCAGCCGGAGCACCGAGCACCGGGGGAGAGCTTTCCGCCTGAGTCCGGGATAGAGTGCGCGGAGAGGCCGGTCAGAGCGGGGCTGAGGAGCGAGGAGCACCGCGGAGGAAGCACCGGGAGTAAAAGTCACCGTGGAGGAGCTGAGGTGTCCCGGAACAGAACTACAGCTGAGATCCCTCCGATGACAGGAGGAGCCACTCTGATGGAAAAAAAACACACAACAGGAAGTACCCAGGCCTCTCAGTGAAAAACTACAAGTACAAATACCACTACTACTCCACATTTCTGTACTAATGATATTCATATTTTCTGTCTGTAGTGAAAGGTGTGTATTTGTACATATTCTCCTTTTCTATTGTTCTGCATGTTTTATTGTATTTTCACACTTTCACAAAGTTCTGGTTGACCTCTCTGTGACCCTCACGTGCACAGCCCCGCGCGTCTCGCTGCTGTCCGTCCCTGAGAAAGTTCCTCTCATCTTGTCTCCGCGTCTGTTCAACTGTTTTGCGCTGAACTCGGACATTTTCTGGAAATCGTCCCGTCCAGCAAGAGCTCCGGAAAATGTCCCCGTGAGTCCGTGTGAGGGAACAGCAGGAAAGTGTGTGGAACCTTCCCAGTGAACGAGTTGATGAGGTTTCTAACACGTGACGGACGTGAAACTGGAAGAAGACAAACGTACTGAGGATGAAGAAGAGGAGTCGTACACGTAGGAGACGAAGACGCCAACATGGAAAGACGGACCCGGGCAATGTCCTGCTGCGTCTTCACGTGAGAAACACAAACTCCAGATAATGTCCAGACACTATTTTCTGGAAAAAAATCTGTTGCTCATCTTTACAATCTGGATTCAAATCTGATTCTGTTCTCACTGTGAACACCAGCTCCTGGAGCACCACAGATTTGGTGTCTGAATAAAAACAGTCGGAGTGAGACCTCTTCCCCCCTCCTCCGCCTCTCTGATCATGCAAACAGACCAACAATCACTTCCTTGTTCTTGAGCAGGGACGAATCCTATTGGCTGCTGAGTGACACCTCACCTGGCAGACGTCGAGCGCCGCCTGTCGGTGGAGGAGAGAACCGCAGTCTGAGGCTGCAGGTGGTGTCTTCTCCTGATGAAGACTCAGGTTGAAGAGATGCAGAACAGCAGCTTGCTGGCGCCACAGAAGCTCAGGACCCTTGAGCTGATACGTCTGGTCCCCGGAGCCTTGCAGATAAAATTATCACCACGTTTAAAAACTGTTTATATTTGAAAAAAAGCTTCTTTTTCATGTTTGATATTCTCTTCAGATCTGAATCACAGAGAATAAAAATAAAAGCACTTTTCTCTCGAGCTCTTAACTTCATTTCTTCATTCGTGAGTGAAGCAGATTCATTTAAATTATTACTTCTTTATTTTTCTTTAAACAACAGAGACACAGTTTCTTTAACATGTCCATAAAAGTGAATTTAAACCCAGAGTTTGACAGAACTCTTTATTTTGCTCTTAAGTCTGGACCAGGACACGATGTGATGAAAACAGAAACTTTTAATTCAAACATCGGATCTTTTTTCTCTTGATCCAGATTCTTATTTAATGTAAATAAATAGAAACAAGTGACCAACGAGCCACTTTGACCTTTGACCCCTGAACAATACACAAGTATTTACATGACGAACCTGAGACCCGATCCTCGTCAGAACAGAGGACGCAAGTGGAAACTCAGACTTAAAAAAAATTCTGCTTCGTTGTCTTGTCTCTGATTCACCTGCTGAAACGTTTCTGTTTCAATCCGTCAGGACACTTTACTGTAAACGTCCGAGTCGTCTGAGCAACGGGAGGAAAATGGAGAAAATCCAGAGTCAAACATCCACAGACCCGCTGCCGACTCCACATGTGACACAAAGGTTTAACTGAGAAAACATCAGTTATTATTTTTTATAAATTATTAATTTACATTTTCTTTTGTTGAGCTGAACCGATCAAAAATAAGGAAAAGTATCAAACTTAAATCTATAAATGTCTTTCTTGAACAGAAGAGGTGAAAACTGTCATTCGATTTCCAAACACAAACGTGTTTCTGTTCTGAAAAACCAAATAAATACTCCGATCAATAAATAACCAAAGAGGAAGTCAGTCTCGACCAATCAGACACGACCTCTGAACCTGCTGCGTTCAGATAAATAATCAGACTTGAATAAATACTTTTCTCTTCTTCCTGCAGCTGCTTCACTTTCTCTCTCTTGACGGGTTTGTTGCGCCGGTGTCGTTGACTTCAAGGACACGTCACCATCAGGGACCTCAGATGTTGATTTTGAGGCAGAAATAAACTGGTTTGTCCTCCAGCAGTTGAAAACACGACCTGCTCCTTTAAAGTCCTGTGTGAGGTATTAGTTTCTGTCGCCGCCCTGGTGGCTGAGCCGTGTCGGCCTGTGGCGTTCAGGGCCGTGCGTCAGAGGGACTGACAAGGCAGAGAGCTGTCGTCGTCCTGCAGGTCCCCTCCCCCCTCCTCCATCCAGGGGTGATTCAGGATCTCCTCCAGCGTCGGACGCTCCTCTGGACGGAACGAGAGGCACCAGCGAATCAGAGACTGACATTCTGGAAGAAAAGAAAAGGCGATGTAAGAAAAATGTTCACATTCAAGCCAATCAGATTTTATGAGGTCAGAGTGATGGGCGGAGCCTGTGCTCACCTTTGGAGACCCGTCTGGTGAAAATGGGCGTGGCCCCGACAATTTCCTGGTCGCGATCGAATGGGATATCACCACAGACCATGTCAAAGAGCAAAACGCCGAGAGACCAGACGGTGAGCGGGAGGCCGTGGTAGGACTGATGCAGGATCCACTCAGGAGGACTGTACACCCGAGTACCTGAGGAGAGGGATGGAGAGGGGCGTGTCATTACACCTGTGGTCACGTGACCTACGTGATGATTACAGGTGGAACAGTTCCGCCTCGTCACCTTCAAACTCGCTGTACGGCGCCTCTTTGAGCGGAGCTCCGGATCCGAAGTCCACGATCTTGACGTCAAGCGTCCTCGTGTCGACCACAATGTTCTCGTCTTTAATGTCTCTGTGGACGATGCCCTGAGCGTGCACGAACTGCAGCGCCTCCACGACCTGACGGAAAAACCTGAGGAGGACAAGCTGCACGTTAACGCCACGACGTGAAAAGTGCCTTCAGCTAATGTCTCTTGTGATTCAGCTCAATATAAATAAAACTGAACTGAAGTCAGTACCTGAGCGCCAGGTGTTCCTGCAGCGCCCCTCGCTCGGTGATGAAGTCGAACAGGTCCTGACACGTCGGTGGTTGCTCCAGCACCAACAGGAAGCCCTGCCCCTCCACCTCGAACCAGTCCAGCATGGAGACGACTCCTGTGTGACCTTTGACCTCCGACAGCCGCTCCAGCAGAGCTATCTCCATGGGAACGGGGCTATCGTCACCGGGCTGAGGGGGCAGAGGATTCACAATCATCATCATCATCATCATCATCATCATCATCACCAGCGTCGTCTCTGCTCTTCAGTTTATTCTCTGATTTCCTGCCGTCAGCGTGTTTTTATTCAGTTTTCAGTCATTTAACAAATGATTCAAAACAAATTTCCTGATCTTTGCATCTTTTCTCACGTTCCTGTAACTCGTGTGTTTTCTGCTCCGACTTCTCCTGCGGGGATTTTTTACATGTGAGTCATCGTCTGCAGGTGTTTACCCGGGTGCTTTTATTGTGAAGGAGGAAGTGTGTGTGTGTGTGTGTGTG